CTTTCGAGGCGCTATAAGTTACACTTTATTAAATTCTGATCGGACATTTCTACCACCATATTAAAGAGCATATTAAATACTATCATGACACTCCGCCACAGCCTTCTGGACGAGCGCCATCGAGAGATTCTGGCACGCGACCGCGATGTGGTGCCTGAGATCAGCGAGATAGTCGATTTCTCCGCCACCGTAGACCACCCTATTGAACTCCGCCCGAACCGGGTAATTGAGGGGATTCAGGTCAGGTGACCTACTTGGATATTCCATCTTCTTTAGGTACTCAGCCCCCTTCCATTCCAAGTAGGCGAGAGTTTCTCCTTCGATTCCATGTGGTGGCACCCAATGCTGTAGCAGTACAAAGTTTCCAAGAAGGTACGGGCGACGACATGTGAGGAGGATATTCTTCTCGAGTTGCTCGATGTAACCGCCAGCGCTCACCTTCAGTCCGGGGTCCACGAAGAAAATATTGGTCTTTCCATTCCAGGTACGTCCGGTCCATACCATCAACCCGCGCCTTGGCGACTGCGGTGAAGATGATGTCCTAGACCGTAGCGTTGTCGGAGCTGCTCGATGTTGGAGGTCTTCCAGATCGAGAGTACTGGTCAGGCTGCGACTGGAGATGACTTCATATTTTGGTGTACATGAAGGTGATGGGCGAGAGCCAGCTCCTGCTTATAGAGGAACATCTTGGGTCCGCCCTGGTACTCGTATCCACGTCCTCTGTCTGGGCAGCGAAAACTTTGCTGATATGTGACTCGGTCGAAGTGACTTTTTTGCCCCCCCCTGTATATGTATGGACGTGTCTTGAGCCGCTGAATCCAAATCCGCGTTCTGAATTGCGGAACGATTCTATGAAGGGAGTTACGGACCATTTAATCTTTGCTCTGTTTGCACAAGTTGAGAACGATAAGTGCATGCGGCAAGCGGCCGATGGCCTAGTGGATATGCGCACTGCTTCAGAGACACGAGGTTGCATGTTGGAATCCTTGACTCTTGAAAACTTTTGCTTTTGTTCAAAACACTTGATATGAGCCCCAAAAACTTCTGTTTGGCCATTTTACCTAGTTCTTTGATTATTTGCCAACGGAAGGCGGCCGATTCTCCATTTCCTTTTGAAAACTTTTATTATGAGGATAACCGTTTCTAGAGCTTGCATCAAGGAATGAGGATCTTACGGTTCAAGAGCACATGTGGTATTCTTCCACGAAATGATAGAAACAATACAAGTTCTCACAATGAGCACAGCGAATGAAAAAGTACTCTGCACACACAGTTACAGTTCTCCACCAGTCCAGAGGGGAAGCAGTACTGAAGAGGTGTTTCGAACTCACCAGGATGTGCATCGAAGTATCCAGCCGAGTACCAAGAATAGGATAAGAAGTTTTCAAATCTAGGTGAGCAAAATTGAGAATAGATAAGAGATAAAAGGAGGAGAATAGTGTCCATTGCAGTATCTCCGTTGATCAACAAAGCACACTGTTCAATGAAAAGCCTACCTTTTCCTCCGAGATCAGACATCGCCAAACGCAAAGGAGGCTCTGTCCGCGCCTTTCAGCTTGTCGCACTCCTCGTCCTCTGGGCTCCATAGGAGGTCTTCCTCATCCTCTTCCACATAGTCCTCCTCGTCGACGCCGATTATTAAGTTGTCGTATTCGGCGTCTCGCAAGATAGACCCAAAGCTGTCTATTACTTTCCGCTCCTTCCGAGATGGTAGGCGTGTTATTTCACAGGAACCGAAGTCCCTCAACAGATACGCCAGTACCAGCTTTGGGCAAAACATCTCGACAGAACAAGAAAGCAACCGCAATTTCTTTGTGCGGAATGCCACGTGTCGGTAGATCACAATCATGAGGGCTGATCATATTGGATAATGTGCACAGATCACGTAGACAGAATATTGTTTGAAATCAGAAACAAAATTTTACTACTGCTCCCCCTCTGGAATGTGTAGAATTGTAAGTAAACCGAGTGTGCAGAGTACTTCTTCATTCGCTATGCTTTGTGAGAACTTGTATTGTTCTATCATTTCGTGGAAGAATACCACATGTGCTCTTAACCGTAAGATCCTCATTCCTTGATGCAAGCTCTAGAAACGGTTATCCTCATAATAAAAGTTTTCAAAAGGAACCAGAAATGGAGAATCGGCCGCCTTCCTCATGGCAAATAATCGAAAGAGCTAGGCAAGATGAACATACAGAATTTTATCGGGACCCATATCAAGTGTTTTGAACAAAAGCAAAAGTCTTCAAGAGTCAAGGATTCCAACATGCAACCTCGTGTCTCTGAAGCAGTGCGCATATCCACTAGGCCATCGGCCGCTTGCCGCATGCACTTATCGTTCTCAACTTGTGCAAACAGAGCAAAGATTAAATGGTCCGTAACTCCCTTCAGAGAATCGTTCCGCAAATTCGGAGGGCAGATTTGGATTCAGCGGCTCAAGACACGTCCATATATATATACATCTCATTGCAAATGGCCGGATCGACCTGTTGGGGTTCCCTTGTGAGCTTATCCCACTTTTCCCCTTCTCTGGGCTGCTCTAGAAACGAGCTCTGGTTTTTTTTTCTGCGGTGCCACCAACTTTTGGCGCATGCCTCGTCCTTTATTCGCATAGGTCATGTGTGCTCTTTCCAGCTTCCTCATGCTCTACCCATACCCAGCTTGACCCGACCTCTCCAAGTTGTTCTTCAGGTCGAACCAAATTTCCGAACAAGCAAGCAAACAAACAAACAAACAAACGAAGCAAATCGCATACAGTGGGTGATGGCGCCATCTCCCTGATGTGCCTGATCCGTGTGAATGTCGGCTATTTTCAAGTCTCTATGCAGCGCGTCTAGCCAGAGCTGCTTGGAACTTCCTTTCTGCCGCTAACCTTCGAGCTTTAGACCAGTTTTACGGACGATGACAGCCTTCGCGCAAAGTACATGACCGTACCATCAAGAACGCGTTTCTCGCATTTTGTTAGCTATGGGGGGGGGGTGCATCAAGCTCTTCGGCACGACATGGTTGCAAATGCGACTCAACTGCGTGACCTGCCATCAACGAAACACCTTCTCTCCATCACACTGAAGCGAGCTTCAACTTCTTCGGTAGCAAGCCACCACTCGGACCAAATAATGCGAGCCGTCTACCACAGTTCCATAGATCTTCGACTCGAAGCGCTCTGGTAGTCGTGAGAATTCGGTTTGAAAAGTCCCGAGTTTGAAATGGAGATGGTATACCATACTCCCCTTGCCGAATTCTCTTCAGGTAACGGAACAAGACAGCGACTCTATCGCACAGACGTACTATATGTACCTCGACCAAAATGAGTGATTTCCGTGGTCTGGTGAGCGTTCCTTGCATTACCGGTCGTTCATACGTCGATAGTTGCAGAAGTTGATGATTCTGCAATGGAAATCAAAAACCTACGAAACGGCAGTTTCGGAGAACACGGTGAAAAACGCGACCAACCTTTGCTTCATCGAGGAGATTTCGGCATGTAACGTCAGTCATTACCAGGGTGTCCTTACTGACTGTGCTGACAAGGAATTTCGGCTGACAAAGCGGAAGTCGTACGAGCTCCATCAGCTGCAAAAGCAGTGAATGAAATAGTTTTTATATGCTGACAGAGAACATAGCCTGTACCTTCGCAAGGAATTGTTTTCGATCTGGTAGGTTGAATCTAACCCATCGAGCAACAGCTATGTAAACCTGAACAATACTTTCATGTGGCTTGTGTAAAGAAAACAGGGGTCGTGCAGTTGCGCGGAGTCGTCAGGCCACTATCATCCCTTAGGAAGCTTCTACGGCACTGCCGAAAAGGAACTCATAGAACAATGACATATCCTTTATAAGTTCCTCATTCGTATTAAAACCAGGCTTTGGGCATACCACGACTGTGTTTATATTGCGGTTATTCGCGGCAGCGTCTACCAGCGGCCATCCTCCACCGTTCCACGTGTCCACCAGCGGCGATCGGGAGAGTACAGATATGGATCTCGCGTCTGCCAGCGTCCTCCAGCGTCCCGATGGCTAGGAAAGTATCCTATTTAGCTGGTAACCTCCTGTCGCGCTGTACTCTCTTTGAGAAGTCTGCCACCTTCCTGTCTCCCCCCCCCGTATTCCAGCAACCGTCCAGTCTCTACCCTCCTATCGCGCCTTACTCTCTTTCCCCACACCTTCGATATCAACACCTTCCTAGTCGCTGACGCTGCCGGACGCTCGGAACGCTGGTGCAAGCTGCCGCAAAATATGAACGCAGCGTAAAGATCACGGCGAGCAGCGAAATTCCCAATGCGGCTGGATAACCTGGTCGGGAGACTTGCTATGCTCTAGGAAGTAAGGATATAACCATGAAAACGAAAGCATCATATTTTTTGGAAGGTGTATTTGCAGACCTGTTCTTCCGACCGCACATTCAAGTCTTCATGTGAAATTAAATCAACTAATCGCTCCACGGAAAGCTGATTGAACTCCTCTTTTCCACTGACTTCCTGAAATAGTTTTTGAATCATTGATAAAATTAAGTTCTGAGTAACTTTGTAGGAACCTGGAAATTTCGGACGATATACATATCAGCCCATTTAAGCAGATTCTGGCAAGAGTAGGTATCGGCAATCGTTCGAATTGCCAAACAATTTGACAGGATCCAATTTCCTCTTGAGAAAGTCACAGCACAAGTCCTACAAGTGAAAGCTTCAATAATGTGACCTCCTGTATAGTTGGATATTCTGACGAGGCGAACCATTCCAGATATTGACAACGGGTAAAATTTCATCGCACGCAAAAGTAGTCAAGGGGTACCATTCTGCAAGCGACTAGACCACGGCAACTCAGGTGGTCTGCACTCTCGTCTTGTAACAGGTACATCTTTAGGAAGATCCCATGAG